CCGCTGATCATAATAGAAAATGAACACAGGGAAAAAGACCTTGTTGAATTAGCCGCCATATATCTGCGCCATCATCTACATCCTAATATAGAAGAAAGATGTAGAAAATGGTATGAAGCTATTTTAATGGAACCAGGTCGGTGTCAATAGTTCACCACTATAGAAACAATGACTCGGAAATAACATATTCAAAATTCCAAATACATAAGATTATCACTTATAATGACTGGGGTTTGAATCCCTTAAAATCAAGGGCACTAAGTACCAAAGGATTTAAAATCAAATCCTATCATTATTTTGAATATATTAAGGCATGGGACGAAGTCTTTGCCTACCAGAATGCAAAAAATACACACAGCTGGTATGTGCAGTTTAAAATAACTGAGCCAATAGAATTTCCAAACTGGTTTAAAAGTTGGTTCTTGTTATGGGGATCATTAAGCCAAATACTTCCAGAAAAATTCCAAATATCACAGAGAAAATTCTTTGAATATAATAAAGCTAGTATAAAACAAAACTATCACATATATTTCACGACCTTATATCAGGTTCCCTGGATTTAAAATGGTCCTACCAAATTTCTGAAGATGATTCAGACTGGTGGGATTATATTCCAGAACTACAAAGGCAAATTTCAATTAAATGGTGGGACAATTATAAGAATGATTCTTTAGATCCGAGAAAAATTTGTATGAAGGCAATTCCGAACTCTTCACCAAAATCAGACATGGGATTCTCCGGCTACATTGCTCTAATGCAACAGAAAAATCCACTCTGTCAAAAGCAAAGCTTAGGAGAAAATTACTCTTTGCCCTGGAAGAAGAAGTAGAAGTTAAAATACCAATTTCCTCAAATGATACAGAACCGAAGATTTGGATCCTCCAAATGAAGATGATTGTATGGGGATATTTTTCCAACTAAATTAGATAAAATATCAGGGATGGTACGACTCCATCACCATTCAGGACACGTGTCCCAAAAATGACAGTAAAAGAAGACTGTCAACACATCAATCACTATTACTAACAATAAAAGAAGCATTATTGTCGACACTATTGCTATAGTAAAAGATGCATTATTGCCGACACTGTTGCTATAGTAAAAAACGACAAGAATATTTGTTTTTTACTTTGACGTGAAGGAAAAGGCATATTACCTTGTCGGTGCGGATTTAAGAACGTTTGGAATCTGCCCTCCCTTCTTCTATAAAAGGAGGACGATACCTCAGAAGGAGAACACCTTGGGATTTCTTTCTACATATCATAGCTAAGGTTTTAGTAAGTCTTAGTGATTGTTGTAAGTTTGAGTGATTTTTGAGTGATTGTTGTAAGTTCGAGTGATTTTTGAGTGATTGTTGTAAGCCTAAGTATTTACTAGGAGTACTTTAAGTTTGCCTCTCACCTCTACTTCGAGCTTTTCTCTGTTTTGCTTTTATACTTTTGTTTTATTTTATAATTTAATTCTATTATGTTAGAATGTTATTCTTTCTATTTAATGAATTTTATTATATATATATATATATATATATATATATATATATATATATATAT